GCCCAAGATCGCCTTCTACGCCGGCCTCAAGCGGCAGCACGAAGGCTACGAGGTGCTCAAGTTCGACGACGTGGTCACCAACCTCGGGAACCACTACGACCCCACCACGGGCAAGTTCACCTGCTCTATCCCGGGCATCTACTTCTTCACCTACCACGTCCTGATGCGCGGCGGGGACGGCACCAGCATGTGGGCTGATCTCTGCAAAAACAACCAGGTGAGTGCGGGCCGCCGGCGGCGGGGAGGGCGGGAAGGAGCGCTGGAAGGTGCGGGCGAGAGGGAGGAGACCCCGGAAATGGGTGGGAACCCGCGGAGAAAGGGCGCAGCGGCTCGGGGCTCCCGGGAGCAAAGTGAGGGAGCGCGCTGTGCCACTCTGGGGGTTCGGCGTCGGAAGCCAACTCGGGCTCCCAGCGGCCCCAAGAGGGCGGTTTAGTCTGGGACCCGCGATCTGTGCTTACACCCTGCGCGACCCTCGAGGGGGGCGGTTAGCGGGGAGCGGGGAGTCCGGAGCAGCAGTAAGCGACGCCCCGGCGGTGGGGTCTTTGCTCACACGCTTTGGCGGGAATGGGGTGGGGGGGCTAGGGGAGTCCGGAATGGGCGTGTCAGGGCGATAAACCCGCACCCGGGGAGAAAGACAAGGGCCCGAGGGAGAAAGAAGGGTCTAGCAGGAGCGAGTTGAAGCGAGACCCTGAGACTTGCAGCGTCCCAGACCGGGAAACACATATAGTGAAATTCAAGACAAATCCGCTTTAGTGTTTAGCCGAGGAGAAGAAGAAGGGGGCGAGGTAGTGAGTACTGATAACAGAAGAAAAAGTTGAGACTCGTGGTTTTACACCATAAAATAGGATCCCAAACACACAACCCAAACTCTGCTTCCTGAAGTGGGTCCTAGGACGCACAGGCAGGTGGAAAAGGGCAGGAGCGGAGCCCAGCCAGAGACTGTGGGCCTTGGCCAGCGAGCCCCAGGGCACCTGCGTGAAGGTCTTCCCAACCCCAGCCCTCCAGCTCACAGGGGCAGTGGCCTTGACCTCCACTGTGAAATAGCCCCCAGTTAGCTCTGGGCCAGGAGGACTTGCTCGCCTGGGCTGGTTGGCGCTGCCATAAGGGCCACACGGTTGCAGTTGTATCATGGGGCAACTTTTCCGTTTGCTTGAGAAATTCGCAGTCACTGCAAAACCGAAATGTGTCTTATCCCTTAGTCAGAAGAGGAAAATAATACTTGTAACTGCCTGGAATTGGAATCAGACCCTCGGCACATGTTGAATCAGTGGCCACGGGGGTGAGGCCTTGCAGCCTGCAGTCTGGACGGAGTTCTTGGGCTGTAACTATGTTTATTGGGTGGCACAGTGAATGACCCCTGACCCTGCCATGGCCAACTTTGATTTAACAAGGTCTGTGGGGCTTGGCCACTTGCCCCTTGAATTCAGACCTTTTAAACTATAAGCCAGTCTTCTATCAAGCAGTATTGAAGCTGTAGTACTCCCCAAAACCCAAGTCATTGTCAGAATTGTTTCAAAAACAAAAGACAAATATCCAAACTGTATAAGAGATAGAAAGGACAAAAAATCCCATCCCTCCCCCTTCCCACCACCCCTCACTTCTAAAGGAATTTAGAAGAAAATAGCTTGAAGGACCCTTAGGATTCAGGACTCTGTAGAACAAAAAAAGAAGTAATGACCACCAGGAGGCACTGACAGGGTTGTTTATTATAGTTATTATGCATGAAAATAATATTAAGATAAATAAAAATTATTTGCAGAGCCATGGGATAGTTGTAGGTAAACGGCTAAAAAGGGCATGACTCACTGTACCCAGTGAGAGCTATTGTGTCACCCTTACAAAAGGGTTCACAAGCAGCCCTCAGCAGGCAGGGATGATGCACCCATTTATTTACAAGTCGGCTGTCTTTGGACTCAAAGGTTAAGTCTGGGAAATACTAGCATGCTAAAGAGATTGTTTTTAGGCATTCATTAAAATGGAATAAGATTCAAGTTTAATCAGCCAATGTATAAAAGTGTTCACATCTTTAAATATCTGGAAATTGCAATTGCATGAAAAACTAGGGAATAATATATTTAAATTACTTTACATGTAGATATCTAGACTGCTGAGCCCAGAAATGTCACACTGATTCCAAGAAAACCATTCCACATACGTATGCTATGTGCATTTCGTTTTTAAATTATTTCATTGTTCAGAATGTAGAATGCCCCTTTGTATCACCCTAGCGGGTACATTCTTTGAGGGTCAGGAAAAAAGAACTAGGCAAGACCGCAGACCTTAAAGGTATAATGCTTTCAATTGACATTATTAAGTTGCTACTCTGCAAAGGTGTGCAACAAGTAATTCAGAAAATAAATATCATGACAAACAATATATTTTTTTAATTCAGCATGGGCTATTTGGAAAATGGTTATTACAATTTTAGTGTTAAGGAATTTTATCTCTAGAATAGAACTCTTTTGCAAAGTCTAGTCTGCACACAGTTGTAGATGAAAAATCTTATAACATCTTTATCAATATTGAATAAATAGTTTGTCCTTGTTTTCAATTATGCTCTTGTCTAATCACTTCTTAGAATGGCCGTTTCCCATTCTAAGCTGAGCTGACCTAATTTGTTTTCATAAAACAGAAACTCAGAGATCCATGTCAGTGTAACGTTCTGTGGATTAAGTGGATTAGAGAAACACAAAAATTGAACTAAAAATGCAGTTCACTCTAGGCTAGAGGAATGCCTCTGGGCCGTCACCATGTGAGAAACATGTTATTTATGCTTTGTGTTAATGCACGATCACAGATGGAAACATCAAAGGCCAGTAAATTAACCTGATGCGCCACTTAACCTTTTGTTTATGATTCCACAGAAGTACAATGAAAATGAAATTATGAGAGCATCAGTAGCAATTAATTAAATCAGCAAATGTTACCATAAATATTGTCTCTAATGATAATCCCTCACTAATATGATAATGCTAAAGCTATACAACCTATTACATTCTTAGAAACATGCCACTAAAAGCACCATGGTTCTCATATTTGCAATGAAACCATCAGCCTAAATTTAATCTTACCATTTGTTGAGAGCCCATGACAGTGCAAATTAAATGTAAAAATTGGACTCAAATAGCTTTACATAGAGACAGGAAATATTTTAATGTTTCCATGCTTTTAGCAGAAAACCTGAATAAAAATATTGCTATTTGAATACAATCACTATAGTACTACTATAATAAGCCACTATAATGAAAACTTAGGCTCAAAATTAGAATTATAAAATAATTAAAGAATAATTTCTACTCTAAGAATGTATTTGTTATGGGACCAGTGAATAAGAGGTATATTGGGAACAGTGAATAGTGTGTGGGTTGATATTCATTTATTAGTGAGATTAAGAAATGTCAAATTAATTACCTTTTTAGGGGCCACAAAACATGCACTAAAGATCAAGCAGAATCTAAATATTTAGCTTATAATATGAAAAGATATTAGAGTACATTTAGGTAGAAACGAGTCTATTAAGCTAAGGGAGAGGATGCATCATATTCCTGGAGAAAATGCTAAAATCAGTGCAGATTTAGGAACCTGAAAATAGGCGCCAAGGTGGGTGCATTACCTTCCTCAATAGTTTGATGGCTGAAATGAAGAACTGTTGGAAGTCACTGGGCTAGAGACTAGAGCTTGAGATTTCAAGTGCCATTATACCTTGAGAGTACGAGCAGGTGAGCAGGAATACGAAAGCCTCGCAAGTGCACGGGAGAGTGGCAGTTATTTACCTGGGAAGGCCATACAGTGCACTATAGGTGAAAATCTTAGAGAATCACTTTCATTAAAAAGCAAGCACACTGGCTTTTTTTTTTCCCACAAAGGAAGCGAAAACTAGAAGCGTAACTTCCAGTCTGTGGGGTCACACTAATATATTGACAGGTTTTTGTGGTTACCCCTCATGAATAAAAATGGTGATAATGACATGGGTTTGTGGTTGTACCCTGCAGAATAATAACGTATAATACAAGTGGCATTATACGTCTTTTTAAGATTATTATCTCTGAATAAGTGATTTTTAATGAGTCCCGGTTCCCAAATGCCTTCATATAGAAAACAGTGTTAAAGCACAATACCCATGGAGCATGTAGTAAATGCCTAAAGCAGTAAATAAATTGTGTTTGGTTATTAATAATAGCTGAGAAGTATACTAGGGATTGATAATTAATATATTCCTAATCTGGTTAATTACTATTTTCTATTTCAATTTTTCTCATCCATTAAAAATCCATACATAAAGAAGATCAGGTCATAATCATGTTATCCTCCTTGTAGATTTTTCCCCCCTGGGAATGACTAGATGAAATTAATAAATCAAAGCACTCAACTCCTACAAACTTATTATTAATTCCGAGGAAATATTATTACATTAAGTTGTATTATTATTTAATGGTCAAAACAGGTCACCTCACTAAATTGGTGTATACATTCCAGTCAGTACTTGTGAGCATAATTGAGTGGTATATTGCTATTATATTAGTGTCAGCGCAGTGTTAAGGAATTCTAAGTCCTGTAAGCCCTTTTCTCCTTCTGCTATATGATAGCCAGGAAGAAAATTTAAAATACTACTCAAATTACTTTATAAGTTCAGCAGTGTCAAAGAGCCTTCTTCTTTTTTTAACATTTCAGCATTAATGTGAGAACATACCCCATGAAAATTTAATTTGAAAATCTATCATTTACATTTTGAAAGAAATGCATGGAAATTCTTGACTTATGTCTCACTTTATTCATTTTGTCAAGTGATAAATTCTGGCATATTGTACCCCAAGTCATGCATTATTACATAGTGCAGTTTTACAAACCGCTAAATCACTCGCTGTGTTATTCAGGAAAATATCATTATACTGGAATAGAAACAAGCCACAGAGTAGATGTTTTACTGAAATAAATCAAATATAATTCTGCCTATTGAAAAAAATTTTGCAAGGCAGAATCAAAATCTAGCTAAATGGACATGAAGCCTAATGTGAGTTGAGGATGTGACAGAATGTCCATGTTACTTGACATGATAGGCAATTTGTTTGCAGATGTCTATCAACTCACTGAGATCACAGGCTCAACATGAGTGGATTTGTTTATAAGCAAGCAAAGCATCCATTTGGATTCACCGAAATGAGACCATTCAAAAATTCTAGCAATTTGAGAGACTTCAAGTCATGGACTTTTAGTTCCTTCTATAATTTTAGATATGTTGAAATTAAATAATTTGTTTAATTTCGCACATCACTATTAAGTGATAAAAAGGCACAAAAAGAAAAGAAAAAAAGCCTGAAAAGTTGGGTGAGATAGCCAAAGATGTTTACAAGAGTTAAGCTTCTGGTAAAAGGGCCTTTACTTGCATTAAAATTTGAAAGCCTCCAAGTCAAATGGTTTCTCCCTGTTTTCTTCCTATTCAGAGGAGTTAGAGTAGTGGTATTTATCTGGCGCTTTACCTACTGTGGATCTCATGTTCTAGAAATTGTGAAGACTAGAGCTGAAGTTTGGATTGAACTCGTGTGCTCATCAACAGCAGGTTAGAACATTGCTATTTGGGTAAATTAAAATGCTAGAAACTACTGTTATTTCCACTTCAAGAAGTGACTGGGCCTAGAGATAGAAGAATTAGAAAAAGTAGTGATTTAGGAAGAGAATAAATTGGTATGCACTTTTGACAGCCCGAAGTAAGGAAAGACTGCCGGAATCACCCTCACAAAAGCACCCTTTCCTCCTTTCCATTCCTCCTTTCCAATATCACAGTTGAAACGATTGCAAAGATACCTGCATAAAGCTCCAAGGCCAAGGTGGGCATTTCTGTGTCAGTTCTCTGCTATGGCAGCACGTCAGCTTCTGTTGCTCTGTGAATGGCCTAAAAGAAAACTTGAAGATTCTCTTTGACGAACTCTAATTCTTGTCTGTTTCACGTAGGTGCGTGCCAGTGCAATCGCCCAGGATGCTGATCAGAATTACGACTATGCCAGTAACAGCGTGGTTCTTCACTTGGAGCCAGGAGACGAAGTCTACATCAAATTAGATGGTGGGAAAGCCCATGGAGGAAACAACAACAAATACAGCACATTTTCTGGATTTATCATTTACGCTGACTGATAATGCAGGAATTAAGTTTATTAATCTGAGTTTGGACGCTGGATTCGTATGGCTAACATCAGTGAATCAAGGATCCCAGGGGAATGCCAGTTGTGGGGCACCTCAGTTGTGTATATGTGGGGAATTCAAATGCTACCTGACTCACATCTGCATTCTCAGAAACATTATGTAAAAAAATATTAAAAGCAAGATAAGCAGATGTGTGATCCACTTCCGCCAAAGCAAATACTCCTTGTTATTAGTGTCCATGTGAATGAAGTCCTATATAGATCACAAATTTTTATAGAAAAATCTAAGACACTGAATTATTTCTTCAATATATATGATACTTTGGTGTACCGTGATCCTGCTGCTCTTATCCATGTCAGCTTTGGTTCTTGTGAGTGTACCTGCTTATTACGATACTTGGATCCCATTCATAGTGTAGGAAGGAATGATTTTACCCTGCAGGAGGAGGTCTAATCAAAATAATGCTGCTTGTCCCCAAAGAAATTGTTTGCCTTGTACTCTTGTGAACTTTAGAGCTAGACCTGGGAATGATTCAACTTCAAGCCTTAACCTGGAATTTCCTGGATTTGACGGAATTCCCAAGCCTATGGTTATTTTCCCATTTTCTTTTTCTTACGCATTTTCTTTTTTCTCTTTAATGGTGATAGTCTTTTGAAGTAGAAATTGAAATTGTATCATAGGATTACCCTATAAGTGTGAAAATGTGTAATATGTATGGTATTTAGAAAATCCCCTACGTACCCATTTTGTCACTAGAATGTGTTTAGATTTACTTGGAAAGTCAGAGAAATTTATTCTTTGGTGTTAAATCAGACTGAGGCTTTTGTCTACTTTGGAACAAAAGATTACTCATAACCCAATGCACAAAGGTTTAATTTGAGCTACTGCATGCATCACCAATGGACGCTAAGTAAGGCTTTCAAATAGTAACTGACTAAAGTTGTGGCCTGAGGTTATTTCAAAATGAACAATTTCACATATAAACAGTATGACAACAAAGTGTATATATTTTATAGGAATACCTGTTACATATATGTGTGTGTTTATACACATATATATTTTATATATATATATGTATGTGTATATATATA